CAAATCTTTAAAGCCTATCATTCTATCCTAATCAGCAAAAGCCCATTAACGGTTACCAGAAATAACAATATATCTATTATAAACTTGATCTAATAAACCCACTTGAATTCCTTCCTTTTACATTTATATCTTATTTTCTATCTTTAAACAAATCCCCCAAACATCTACATTCAAACCTACTCAGTAAAAATTCAATAAAAATTACCAGAAATAACTGTTTTAGCCTTAATCAAACAGACTTAAAATGCAACAAATGAACTCTTTTTCCCATATCTCATCTCTTATCTATAAACAAAACCTTAAAGCATCATCATCCAATCCTAGTCAGCAAAAATCCATTAAAGATTACCAGAGATAGTAACCTATCTATTTTAACCTTGGTCAAATAAACCAACTTTATATTCCTTCCCCTTGCTCCCAACAATCATGGTCTTTAGGCCCTTCAAATAATGTCCTAACATTTGATTTCTTTTCATTTTCTCTTTGTCTCTTCTCACCAAATTGTTGTCAACTTTAACAAGGCTCTTTTGTAAATCCAATATAGAGAGGTTATTCAAGTCACTCTTCTGGTTTATTATTTGTATGTCTTTTTTAGTTATTAAAACATCAGCCAGTTTCATTTGTATATCCAGTATTTCACCTTTTTCCATATCTTTCTTGTAACCTGTCATTTTTAAATCCACATTTAGATCAATTTCTGTCTTATACAATAAAACTTGTTCCTCTTCTATAACATCATTTAGTCTGTCTATAATGGCAGACATCCTTAAAATTAACTTCTGAGTCCATTGTTCACAAATCTCTCTCAATATACCCAATATTAAAGTATTTTGCTCCATTCTATATTAGTAAGTCAAATTTAAGTATTCTTCTCCTTTAACTGTAATCTTTATTTCCTTCTGGTGCCCTCTGGTGTCCAATGTTCAAAGTCCCATCTTATCATGTTTTTCTTCCAGATGCAAAAATATGAATAGTTTCCCATGAGAAGGATTCTTATATTTAATTTCAAAGTTTTATTAAATCCATCTGGAGTCTTAGTCTGTTTATAATTTTCTAAGATCAACGCTCTAATCACCCTTCTGCTCTTTTTTCCCCCCCCCCCCAACAATTTTATTTTTATTTTTGGTAAATCTTTAAACTCGCACTTAAAACTTCTTTCATAAAGGATTGAAGGAAATTCACCTAGTGAATACCATAAAACTTGCCATTCCAAAGGTTCTCAATATTTAAAAAGCAGTAAAAAAAATCCAAAGTGATTAAGAAATGAGGCTCGGCCAAACCTTATGTCCGTATAAACTACATTATGAGTATGAGCTTGATGGAATCCCTCAACTCCCAACTGCTTGACTCACATCAACCACAAAAATCTTGGTTTCTGCCATCTACTCATGAGGAGCAGCTGTCAGTAGTACATGTGAGCAATCTCATTATCTTTTCTTTTTCCAAAGCTATTTCAATGAACCCAGCCAATTCTGATTTATTCAGTTATAAAGCAAGCTATAGTTTTGCATGTGCACAAACCAGGCCATAAAATGGTTTAGTTGTGTTGTGTGAAGCCAGCCATTATGGCTTGTAAACCAAGCTTTATGACTTGGCATATTGTGTGAACATAGCTGATTGTGACCCAACCAATAGAACAGGAATTCCACACATTTTGTGACATTTGATTGCTTAGTGCCCAGTAATGGATATTGGAGTTTGAATGTTGGGTTTGAATATATCAGTCTGAGAGGGGACATCCCACTCCAGGAAATTCTTAAATATCTATCTATCTATCTATCTATCTATCTATCTATCTATCTATCTATCATATCCGCTGGGGGAGAGACAAAGCAGAGAGGCTGTCTTAGAGCTTGAAGTGCCTATGTAACAGTTTGGCACAGGAGCATGAAATGCATCTGCCTACTTCTGGGAGTTGTAATAAAGTGTGTGCACCCAAATGGCTGGACGTGCTGCATTGCTCTCCCAGTGCACATACAGATGAGGACCTCACGGCTTCAGGGGACAGAGTTTTCAGAGGAGGGAGAGTGGGAAACCCTATGTTGTATCATAGAAGCTGCTGGACATGACTTGGCAGACAGTACAGTGTGGTCTGGGGAAGGATGAGCAGAAGATGCTTTGGGTGGGCCTGACAGTTGCTAAGGCCAACAAGATTATTTACTTTTATTTTCAGAACAGCTTAGAGAAGTCAAGTACAGGGCTGGCTTTGCTGATCCAAAACAGCATTTGATTCTAAGAATTCCTTCAGAGCTAAAATTAAACTCTTTCCTTATCCAAAATATTATCAAAAACTGCTTAAATGCTCAAGTTCCTTAGAACAACACTTTGCTTTCAAAAACTGATTGTGCACCAGTCCAAATGCCTTTTTTATCTAGACAAGTACTTTATTCCTAAGATTTATCTAAGAGCTGAAATTAAGCTGAAACTTTTTTTTAATGCTTACATCATTAAGTCACTGCTTATTCAAAATAGCATTTTATTTTTTAAAAAAGATTGTTCCTCTGTGCTGAAACAGAAAGCAGTACTGTATGAAATTCTTTTGACTATATTCAGTTTCTCATATTCTGTAGATGGCACAGGAGGATAAAACCAGCAGAAAAAGGAAATACATATACTGTTGGAGAAACACGTGCTGGGATTTCTGAGCATGTAATGGTGGGCTTCATAATGCAAAGAAGTATAAACCCTCAGTTTAATTGACTAATGGGGAAGATGATCTATTAGATCTGAATGCCCACTAAATCTGAATAGGATTTTATATATTCATCTTTTATGCATTTTATCTCATTTTGTCCGCTAAACCAAGGGCTTACTCTACTGTCAAGTGCGGTCTTTGAGCTACCAAATCTGAGCTGCATAAATCCAGAAGCCTACTAGATGGCTGTAAAGAGGTTCAGAAATCTGTCACTCGTAGTCATCTAGTGGCTGTCTGGATTTATGCTGCCCAGATGCAGGTGCAGAAAAACCAGTCGCCTTCTCAACTGTGTTGGTTTGGGCTTAGGGAAAGACTATTCCCTCTGTGTCAAATACTACTTCAGTTCCAGATATTAATGTCTGTTTTGGGGGATCTGACCCTTTATGGTGACACTCAAAGTACTTGAGGGTTTTTTGCAGGGAGGGGAGAGCAAAGAACTATTGCACACTATACTATGTGCAGCACTTGGTAACATCCATGTCACTATTTCTGATCCCACATATTGGCAGGTCTGCGTGAATCCAGTAGAGCTGTTTGCATATTCTTACAAAAGTTTCTCCAGGACTGAATTATTTTACTTCTAAGATTCTTCCTTTCTAAGAAGAGTGTCTTAGCTCTCTGGCCCGATACCAAGGATAGACACCAAATGGTGCTTTCTCTTGCTCTTTCTTCCTTTTTATGAAATTGGCAGCTCCTCCAAACACACATCCAACCAACGCACAATGCATTAAAAAAAAAAAGGAAAGAAAGGAAAGACAGAAAAAAAATGGACCATCTGGCTAAGTGCTCCTTGAACATGAGAAGACAAGAAAAACAACACTCAGAACTGGCAGCTGAATGAAACTCAGCCTGTCTGTGGACTTTCTCCTGTAGTGCACACAAAGGACAGCCACCATATCCCCTACTCAATAAAATAATAATAATAATAATAATAATAATAATAATAATAATAATAATAAAAAAAAACACCAGAGCGAGATCAATTTAGTGTGGGATGGGGTGACTTTCCTTAGCTACACATGCACTCAATTAATTAGCAGCACTTTGGAAGATATCAACACTTTCCCCACCAAAGATTGCCAGCTTCAGCCCTTTTGCTGGGGTGTTGGAGCCCCCTACTGGAAGTCAAATGGCAGATTTTCTCACCCCCAAAGTAGCCGAGGTACTGTACTTCATCGTGTCTCCCACAAATACGGGCTTGAGATTGATGAGCACCTGAGACGTAATATAGATAACGGAGAGGTTTTGCAGGTTCTCAGCAATATGGGTGGACATGTCAATACATATGAATGGTTGAGGTTCTTATTTGTTTGTTTATCAACTCATATGTCACCTCAGTCATGAAGTGTCTCTAGTCAGCTTACAGAATAGGATTAAAACATTACATTAAAAAAATAAAATAAAAGGACAAAGTCAATAGTAAAATATTGTCGATAACAGCCATGTGTATCACAGAAGGGTAATTAAACAAACATATTCCCCACCAACCATCATCAGGGAGATGACTGCTACAACCTATCCCCTGGCCTATTAGAAGAGCCAGAATGTTACAAATTTGAGGTCACGTGAACCTCAAGAGGAACACTGTTCTACAGGATGGGGGCAGCTACATAGAAGATACGTCTCCTAGGTTTCACAAGATGACACTTGTTTACTCTGGAACCTGAAACTCACCAACTCATCCAGATCTTACTCGTTGGGCAAAAATAACAGAAGAAAAATGGTCCCCTAGGAAAGATGGTGTCTTGAAGGACTCATATGTACTTGGGTGTGGTCCTGGATATGCCATTGCTACAGAATTGTAGTTAACTGCCATGTGCAAAAGTGACCTCTTCCAAATCAGGTCCATAGGGAGTTGTATCCCATCTGACCTTGAGACAGTCATCTGTTGGTTATCTGCAAATTGTGGTGCTACAACTCCGTTTATGTCAAAAATGAAGCCACCTAGTACTAACAAAGAGGGCCACAAAGTCTGTACTTATAACAGCAATTTTGCAGAAAGTATGCTGGTACCAGTATATTTGGGCTCAATGCAAATTCTGGTTGTTAACTTATATGATCCTAAATAGATATCTTCAGAACTGCTTTTAATCAAGGGATGTACAACTCTTGAATGGCATGTCAGGGTCTGACCTGGAAGTAGGCAAAGCAACATGAAAAAGATAAAAAAGAAAGAAAGTAGAAAAAAAATAAATTGATAAAAATATTTAATTGCTTACTTGTAAGTAATTGTTTTAACTGCCAGACATGAATATTCTCATATACATATGTTCATCTATATTTCCATTCTCTCTCTCTCTCTCAGGTTTAAAATAAATGTGAGCAACCTCCGCACCCAATTCTCCAATATCCACACAAAAAGCCTGGGAGAGACATTGTGGGCAATGTGTGAGCCATGGCAAGCTGCATGGATGGCCCTGGACTCCCATTTTGTACCTGTGCCCTTATCTAAGAAATGCCTAGGTAGTCCTGTTCTTTTGCCTGCCAGTAAAAGCAGACATTTTTCTGAAAACTTTCACCTAAATTTCCTTGGACACTTCAGTGTAGGCTCTAACTTAAATCTTATCTTTTGTTATATTTTCTTGTGAAAATTAATGGCTGTGTGCTATAGTGACATGTTTATCATATATTGAATTAATGTTTTACTGTTCATCTACCTGACCTGCCCAGTATATCTTATCTTCATTTCATCTGGGTATATTACTTTGAGAGGGACTTGCTATAAAAAGTGACATAAATACTTGGAATAAATCTGTTGCCACATAATCGGAGTACCATGAGACAGCTGAAGGAGGAAAGGAAAACTTTAAAAAAGAGTTTACTCTGGATTTATTTTCTTCTATTTATTTATAATCTGAAGGTAGGACTGACTGGATAAATTCATGTACCATAGTTCTTGACATACTATCTTGAGGAGAGAGCAAATTATTTTTTTTTAAAATTCCCTGTCAGATTTATCATCATACAAATCTTTGTATGGGACTGCAAAGGAGACCGATGTGTTTATAGACTGCATTAATAGGAATTGCCAGGTTCATCAGTTCCAGCTCAAGCCACAGAGAGTTATACCATTTGAAAGAGTAGTACATTTATTTTCACATAATAGACTTTTGGCCCTAACTAAGAGATGGTAACTCTTAGTTAGGGACAATAAAACTTAAATAGAGAGTCATAGTTCTAAACGAGCATTTCCCAAAGACCCTGGCTTGTTTTCATTTTAATTTGTTCAATATGTTTATTTATTCCATGAAGAATATGTGGCAAAACTGAACTCCAATAGAATTGGATGCACCATGAGTAGCTCACTCATTTCTGCCTGATCTGGTGTATTGTGATGACCAATCTGAAGCTTTCTGCAGTGGGTTAATAAAGACTACCGTAAGATCAAAGGATGACAAAAAAGTCTCTTTGTCTTTCTGTTTCATACACACACACACACACACACACCCCAGTACTTGCTGTAACATATAAGATGAGCTCAGCAGAGAGAAGATTTCACTTGGAGTCTCTACTGTTCCTTCAGCCCAAGCTCATGGGCATGTTTTTCCAAACTGAATAGATGCCTTGACCTTTGCAATTCAGCCCTTACAGATGGCACCACCAAAGCAACTGTTGTCTATCGTGCGTAGACAAATACACATGTCATGTGCCCAGTTCAATGACACAGTTCTACTCCCCCATAAACTCATGTTCCCTGATTCAGAATATAACTCACCCTACCCTACACACAAAATGATGTCATCCACACAACAACCCTTAAGCACAAACACTATCCAAACCACATTGTACCTTCATTTAGACAACAATAGGAGCTTCTTTGATTCTATTTTTGTTTGTTTCAATCAAAAACAGCAGTTTCTTTTGCCGGGGATTTAAATTGTCTATTAATTGCATTTAAACAATTTTTAAAGTAATGTCATAAGTTTTACTGACTCATTTCATTTAAGAAATTACTCTTTATATTATTAAGCTCCAGTGTTGTAGACTGGAAGAATTTCAAGTTAAAATAGAGATACAGTTAGTTCAAAAGCCATGTTCATGATTTACATAGAAAAGAGTTTAATCTAAAATCTGTTTGCATTTATTTATTTATTTATTTATTTTATTTTTTTATTTATTTTTCAAATTTGTATGCCGCCCATCTCCCCCAATGGTTAATGTTCACAGCAGAGTTCTTAAAGTCAGTCTTGATTCTTGGTGGTTTGCCACTGGCTTGTTCTGTGATTTATTTCAACTTTCCCGAAAAAAGTTTCTTGACTCTCCTGTCTAAGAACTAACCAAGTCCAGTTCTGCTTAATTTTTTGAGAACAGCCAAGGTCAGCTAGGTATTGCCATCTAGCTGAACTCAGACATATGCAACTAACTAATCCCTGAATGAAACAAAAACTAAACAGAATAACCCATCCTGACCCCAGATGTCACACACTGCACTTAGGATCTGATTTCTTGTACCAAAAAATTATTAATTCCTTTCTTATAAATTTACATTTAGACAATTACAATGATTCATTCTCAGCTATGCAACAAGAACTTGGTGGTAATTGTTCAAAAACAAAAAAGCAAGCCATATTCAGGAACACGTTGGCTGTGTTAACCTATTGCATTAACCATAATATTATTTGTTTGTTTGTGACTTAGTGTGAGAGTTTAACACATTCACACTAAATTGGTCCTCCCAAATCTGATACCCTTGAATTCTACAGATTTCAACTTCCTCAATTCACACTGAGTGTAGCCAATTGGCTGGTTGGGGATGATGGGAGATAAGGTCCAATCCATCATCAGATTCGGAAAACCTGTACTCAGTGACAATTTTTCATTTTTCCTCCACAAAAATATTTTATGAGCATTAGTGAAAGTGTTTCACAATTCTGTCCTTAGGAACAAAAAGTTGGGCTTCTTTCAGTAGTGGACTAACAGGGTTTGGAATAGCTATTTTTTTAAAAACATTTATATAAACAAACCATTTTAGGAATATAGAAAGACACTTCATTCTAAGTTTTAATATCTTTCTGATACGACCAGCTCACACTGTTGATTTCTCCATACACACCAGATCATTGTAGTGAAAAAGAATCAGCAATTCCATCCCATTTCATTTTGTAAAGTAATATCCATAGAACTACTTTGCTACAATGGCTGGAGTCACACAAAAATCTATTTTTTTTTAATTTGGTTATTTATTTCAAGTTTTATGCTCATTCAACCTCATGACTCTGGGTGGCAAATATTAAATAACAATAAATAACAATAAACAATAAAATAGTATAACAATTGGCCACCAAAGTAAAAACCATCCCAACCATCAACAGAGTTTGCTCAGCTTCTTAACCTAGCCATTGTAGGGGACAAGTCATGCTTAGTATCATGTGAACTGAGCCAACTGGGGTTAGTCAATGAACCATAATTAAGCAAACTGTGTCTTAGGGCAATGTATGAACTTGGCCAGTGCCACAAGGGAGTAAAAGCCAAGGACATGCTCTGACATGTATTTGACTGAAAAAACCCTGACTGCTCAGAGGAGGTCTAATCCTGGCTGTGAATATTTTCTCTCCTTTCCTGTCCAGAAGGACAGAGCAGGTGCTGGCTGGTCTGGATTGCGAAAGCTCACTGAAGCACAGGCAAGAAGACAATCTACCAGCCTCATTTCAGAGCCACCATTTTCCTTGTACCAAAGGTGTTCCACTGTAGCCTTTGCTGGTCCCGACAGCTACACAGTAGACTAGGTAGAATCTGCATTGCCACATACTGTGTGATGAAGCCCTCAATCAGAAATAAAGTAGATTAACTCTGGGCCCAAATGAAGCAAAGCAAAAAATGTTAATTTTTGACATCACTGCTCAAATTTCCAGCATTTTAGAAATGAGGATTTTGAAAGGAAAAAGGAAACAAAAGAACTAAAATCTGCCATTGTAACAGGATTCACATTTAGTGCTAAATCATAATTTTAAATCATGGTTAATTGAATAACATGCAGTTAGCTGGATTCTCACATGACAGGCAAGCCATACACTATTATTTATAAAGCCCAGAAGCTAAGTTCACATAACTGAATAAGCCAAATCTCAACTGATCAAGTTAGGACTTGAGAAGGAGTTATTGCAAAAGTATTCAATCACCTCTCCCAGGGTTTTATACACAGCTTTTGAGATCACCTTCTGTGTACCACAAGATGTATTTTTTCCAAAGAATAATTTAAGAAATACTTCAGCAACCCCTTCTTCGATGTCTAAAGATATGGAAGAGTTTGATTGTAAGAAACCTCTACAGGCAAGCATTTTTATGGGTAAGTTCAATGTTCACATAATATACATTGGTCATTTCTTTTTCCAAAAGTCAAGGTAATGGCCATACCTAGCTGATCTTGGCTGATCACTAGGGTTGAACATGATTAGCATTTGTATGGGGAACCACCAAAATAAAGCACAGAGCTATAGGCTAGACATCCAGGAAGAAGGCAATGGACAAAACACATGGATGACTTGGATACATTCATATAGTGACTAGGATTTGCACTCAAGTCATGTAAGTTTTAACTTTTTAATTAAGAAAGGTTCCTCTGCAAAGACACAAAGGCAGTGCAGAGAACTGATCAAGAACAGGCTGATGGGCTGGCCTGCTGCCCCATTCTTATCTTAGCTCAGTGCAAAGCACACAACACTCTATTTTTGTGTTGTTTACAGGGCGGGAGGAGCTGAACTGGCTTTAAGAGTTTGATTGCTTAGATTTAATCCCAAATTGTTTCTTGAATAAAAACACCAGACAGACAGAAACAGCATGCTCATTTTCTAACCACACATTCAAAGGGACTTATTATGCTCATTTATGAAACTGACATCAAGATTAGCTGTTCCCATTTGCCAACTTGCTGAACAAAGGCCTTCTCTCCAGAGCTACCTCTGAATACAATGAATCCCCATTGCCAAACCTCACATTGTTCAGGGCTGAAGGGCTGCCACAGTGCTTTTGGACTCGGAAAGTTCATTATGGGCTGCAACCCCAGACATGCTGATTTGCAGAAACAGATGGAATTGTAAAAATTATAAATGGCCATCTGGTATTCACAACTCCATTGTAGGAAAATTCAAACAAATGTCAAACAAGGATACAAAAAGCTTCTGTGTGACAAGAGGGCACCAGAGGTTTGGCAAATTAAACTGCATGGAAAGACTTGGCTTACTTTTAAATGCAATATTCTAAAGAAGGCACTATTAGGCATTTGAATGGAGGCCAGAGACACCTTCTGTGATGATGATGATTGATGATGATTGATGATGATCAAGAAGAAGAAGAAGAAGAAGAAGAAGAAGAAGAAGAAGAAGAAGAAGAAGAAGAAGAAGAAGAAGAAGAAGAAGAAGATCACAACAAGCATTTATTACAGAGGTTCATTTATCCTGAATGTTGGTTCCAAAATCCAGTGAACAGACACATTAACTGAAGGCTTATTCATTGCTCCTTCATTCATTTAGCACCTGAAAATGTACCATGAGTAAGGACCATAGTTTGCTAAACATAGTTTATTGCATAAACTACCACTAACTGGGTTTGTACAATGCACTAAGCCAAAACCAAGTAAGCCACTTTATGGTTTTAGGTGACATTGAAAATACGAGACAGAGTGATGCACAGCTACCTTAGAGAAAGGTGCATATTGGATCAGGCACACCAAATGCAGTTCTAGCTCTAACTTCTCAACGGACAGCACTGAATGGCAACTAGTCAAGATGTCACATGGGAACTTCAAACTTTATCACCTTGCAGTGTAGGCTACATGTCCTAGGAAGATGGGCCTGCTGTGGTAAGGTTA